CAGAAACTGTAGGTTGATTGGTGTAGCAGGGCAAAGCAGAGTTCTGGTGATTGGCTTCACTGGTTTTCCAGCAGGATCAGGCTTCACCTCATAGTGCTGTATCAACTTCAAACACACAAAAAAGAAAGAGTACTCTTTAAAAAGAAAAACATGGAATTGACATTTATTTATGTGAGCAGAAATTGTAAACTCACTGAATACCAGCTGCTTGCCAATTGACTACTGTGTATTTTGGATGACTCAGGTCAAAGTGACTGATGAGTGGTTTGCATTCATGTGCATGCCCAGGCCGACAAATAAGTAAACAGCTTTGAATGGGCCAAGAAGTTACTTTAGGTTAATACTGCTCCCTGAATGAAGCTAAAGAACAACCGATTTCCAGGAAATTTAAAAAAGCAACGGCACAATGTTTGTTTGCATATTTCAGTCTTGCAGTCTTATAGTTATAAAGTTGTATGGATCCTTTAACATAATATGCAGTGGAATAATAACCCAACCTTAGCTTCTAAGTCTTTAAAGTTCTAAGCATCAAGCTACTGTTGAGTTTTTATAATAACTTGTTCAGCAACTCACATAAAGCATAGTATTAATTCACAGCCCTGCTTCCAAACCTTATCCATTACCTTTTCCAATTTTGCACTTAAAGTTATATTTTAAGAACTTAAAGTGCAAGTTACAGTTTGTCAAAACATGCAAACTGTTTTTGGATTAGATGTATAATCTAGTAGCTTTTATCACTATCCACTCTGCTGCCTGGGCAAGACTTGACACAGTAGCTTTGCATGCTCGACTCAAAGCCAAAGTACACTGCTGTGTTGGCAAAAGTTGCTTCTTTATAAGCAAGCACGGAGCATCATTAGCATTAGGAACAGATGTTCTTACCCTGGAGAGGAGGAGATGCATCTCAAGTTCAGCCACCCGCCGACCTAGACATGCCCGGATCCCAAAACCAAATGGTACTGACCCGAACGGGTGATGCTTGGACTTATCCTCCCCTCCTCGGAGCCAGCGCTCCGGCAGGAAGGTGT